CCCCCCCCCCCCCCCCCCACGCCCCGCAGAAAGCGCAGATTGCATATCTAAAAAAAACATTACCGTAATTTGCAAAATCAAGTTTATTTATTTTCTTTTTTATGGACGAGGGTTTCGATCGTTTAGCGTGAAGTATCGGCGTGCAACGTGGTGGTGCTCCACGCTCTTTTACATCGCTGCTACGTTCCACTGGCGCGAGTTTAAATTAACTTCATATATAATCGAAGGTAGAAACAAAAGGATTTCGATTTACAACGATTTTTTTGCGACTGAGATTTAAATTGCGGCTCTTTTTCTGTACATAAACCGAACGGAAAGCTTTTACACGGATACAAAAGCTCAAAATCGTTTTCTTTTCTTTTTTCGAGTCACACGTGGCAGACTTTCTCCAGGCGTAGACGACATGTGTGTGTTAAAGCTCCGTGGAAAAAAAGAAACTTGATCCGCTTATGGGACTTCACGGACAGTAGGATAGACAGAGAAACGAGTAAAGAGCAGCGAGAGAACCACATTGTATTGACGATAACGAACGTTAGTTACCAGCCGCTTTAACAGCTTTTATAGCTTCCGGAGTTTTTTTTTTTATAGCTTTCACAACGGTCGTCGTCGCGCCACTGTTTGTGAAAAAGCTCCGAATGCAAGTGAAAACTGAGAAAGCGATGAGACCGGCGACATGATTTTCCATCTTCTCGCGCGGCGTTAAATAACGAGATGACAAAAGTAACAAAATCTGCTATCGTATCAGTTTTTAAATGATCTCTCATTACAGTAGAGAAAGGATCGTATAATATCCAAGGAAATGTAGGAACTCAGATAAGAGATAAGTTAACTCGTTGGGCTAATTAATTTCGGATACTAATTAAATTTGCGTTATTTCATTTCCGTGATCGCAATCACTTTGATAAATTCGCGGGTTACGGAAAATAGAATGATACGAGAAATACATTTTTATCATCGTATGGTTGAACTTTCCGCTCTACTTAAATTATTGCATTTATGAAAGAAAGCAATTATAATATTAGAAAATTAAAAAATAAATCCTGACATCAGAGAGAGAGAGAGAGAGAGAGAGAGAGAGAGCGTATATAAACTCTTTGAGAAAAGCTGGTTTCTTGAAATATTTTCCTCGCGCTAGAAATGAGAAATAACCCCTTCTGATGACAAATACGTATATAACGTATTACAACTCGAAATAGAAAGGTATTGCTGGAATCATAAAACTTCTTTCAATCTCGCTGCAAGTAAAATATCTTCCTAAAGTTAGATCGTGTCTTCCTCCGCGAATGAACACTATAGATGCGTACGTAGAAGAGTTGAACTTTAGCGGAAGATACGAGATGACCTACAGACATTTCGATGTTTATCGAGTCGTTATGGTACAGTATTCGCGCGAATGTACGTTGCACAGCGCTTTTGCCGGCATCTTTGCGAGGTAAATTGTCTATCGGACGGCTCTACGGCTCCGATAAAATCGATTGCAATGCGAGGGGTGAAGGGCGCGCGAAAGGAGGGGGTTGGCAGAGGGTGGGGGGTGGCGAAGAGTGGTGAGTCTCTCTTGCCTAGAGACACACGAGCTCGGTAAGTCGTCGTTCCGGTTCGATTCGGCTCTTCTCTCACTCACTCCTGATTCTCCTTCTCCCTGATTGTACGCGAAGGCCGTTTCGTCGCTGTGAAAAGCGCAGCCTGCCCTCTCCCGTTTATTACCATTCGAAACGACGACGCTGAGGCTCTTTTCCTCGATTGTGCGGCCAAACGATGCTCGAGATAAATCGCTCAGATCTTTCGTGAGGACGTCTCGGTTGGTAAAAGTCGAGTGGCAAGAATACTTGGCGATAAAGAAACGTCATGAAGTACGTGTAAAATGTCAACCGAACCAAATTTACTGTGTGCCCCTTGATTAATTTAAAATCGACTTTTCTCTATATCGCAAATATTGAGAAATTAATAATTTTTCAATTATAAGAACGATCGAAAATGAAATTAAATTTTGAGAGACAAATAAATGTTATAAAGTAACTTTTCATTTAGTTTTTAATTAACTAGGACTTTTAACTTGAGAGAGAGATCTAATTAACGAAATGTTTATCAAGTGTTAAAAGAAAAGTATTCGGTTAAAAAAATCAAATTTAATTAAAAAATATGTGCACAGCTTGCATAATTTAGAGATAATCCGTACGTATATACGAGTATAATGCGAAATCAGCGAAAAAACGGGTCTGGCATTGAGTCACAGAAGTAATCGTTTAAATGCATCGCGTTATTAAAAAGTCGTATTGATCCGAAGCGGGAAATGGCGACGCCAGAAAGTTATAGGAACGATAGACGAAGAAAACGCGAGTTGTATGTGTGTGAAAAACGCCTGATAATCCGTGAGTTTTTGATCCACAACGTCGGCTTATTACACCCATCAATGGTCAAATAATTATAGAAGAGGAGATGTGCTATTTTAGATCGTCCTCTTTAAACGACATTTATTTCGCTTTTCTTTTCCAGGTGGTTTATCAACAAGAAAAAGGTGATCGGAGACTACACCACGGAGATGATTATTCACAATGCTACCCGCGAGCTGCACGACGCGACCGTAAAGTGCGAGGTTTCGAATGAAGTGGGTAAAAGCGAGGAGAGCCAAACCTTGGATATAAGATGTAAGTGAAAAAAAAAAAAAGAAACACATTTCACTCTCCCGTAGAAAAAATAACAGTGGAGGTCAACGGTTTCTTAGAAACTATCACGTGTCTTAACATAGACTTTCTCTTCGATGCTTAAGGGGAGGCACCTGTCTCATTTTGACCCCTCGAAATTCTAATGACTGAAAGTGCTCGTATTTTTATTCTTCGTCGATTTTGAGGTCAAAAACATACCAGATTGTTATTAAAAAAACAATTCGAATTTTTCACTGAAAAAAAATTTTATTTTTTCAATCGTAAAAGATATTGTCAAATGCATACAAGAGATTATTCGAAATGTTGAGAAGATCATATAAAAAAATTACCATGAGAAAATATTGAGAATTATTGTAAGAGAAGATAGATTTTTAAGATTGAACTTAAGGAATTTCAATCTACTGAAGTCACAAATTAATTGAAAAACATTTTTTTGGCTTAGAAATATATTTTTTCAGTACCCAAGAACACGTATGACAATTCTGAAGGACATTCTTTGGCAATTTTATGTCCTACAGCATAAACATTTAGGTTCGTAGGGTGGTTGAATTTTTTTTCTATCTCAATCGGAGAGCATTTTCTTGTATCGAAAACCATATTTGAAAGAACGTTTTCAGAATTCTTCGGCATTCGTTCTATCATGATTCTTTTTTACAATCTTCAGCATGCCAATCATCAAATTCCGATAAGTCGTCAACTTATTCAGCATCAGACTAGCATAAGACTATATATATATATGTCATAGACAATAAATAAAGTATGTGTCTATGGTGAATTATGTTGAAAACGAAGGAACTATGTATGGAGCGGGGCTGTTCTGAAATACTTAGTTTTTACGTTATCATTATACATACGTATATAATTTTATATGCATAGATGGCTGTATGTATATTTATACATATATGTCTGTTCCCATTTAAGGATTGTTCTTCAGAATTGTCATAAACGTTCTTATGTATTGAAAAAATATATTTCTAAGCCAAAAAAATAATGTTTTTCAATTAATTTGTGACTTCAGTAGATTGAAATTCCTTAAGTTCAATCTTAAAAATCTACCTTCTCTTACAATTCTCAATATTTTCTCATGGTAATTTTTTTATATGATCTTCTCAACATTTCGAATAATCTCTCGTATGCATTTGACAATATCTTTTACGATTGAAAAAATAAAATTTTTTTTCAGTGAAAAATTCGAATTGTTTTTTTAATAACAATCTGGTATGTTTTTGACCTCAAAATCGACGAAGAATAAAAATACGAACACCTTCAGTCATTAGAATTTCGAGGGGTCAAAATGAGACAGGTGCCTCCCCTTAAATTCCGTGATCACGCGAAAATTCCAACGTTCATTTTGTGTGGGAAAAAAAATGATAGTTTCAACGCAATGGTCTGAAAATACCATATAAAATAGAGCGTTGCGCGATTCGCACGCACGCTGCTCGAGACCACGCTACGACGAGAGAATTTCGTTTTACCGTAAAGCCGGTACCTTACAGGCGTGTTAAAGGAGCAATCGCGGTAACGATATAAAATATAGAGCCACCCCGCGGAAACGCGCTCTCGAAATAAGCCGCGCCGCGCGGTATAGACGCGCGGCAGTATAAGGAAGTAACATTTTTTTCCCCCGCCCGCCCCGCGCGCGAGTTCATTTTCACGCGAGAGCTGACCCGGCGGGGTTAAAATTGAATTTCCTCAGACGGCCCGCAGTTTCGGCACCCGCCGCTCTCCGTGGAAACACATTACGGCGCCACGGAGATCCTGCAGTGCGACGTAGACGGGAATCCAACGCCGGAGATTCTGTGGTACCATGAGGATTCGGAACGAACGGTCGCCACCAGTCCGAACATAAGCGTCTTTGTGAGCCCCGACACTGCCGGCCGTTACTATTGCAAGGCCCGTGTGCCCGGCTTTCCGGAATTAACTGGCCATGCCAACATCTACATTCGCGCTCCGCCGAGCATAGTGTCGCAAAGGATCCAGTATGTACCTGACGAAGGAGTGGTCAAGGTGCGTACACACACATATTGATGAGACGACGTTCTTTGACTCGCTATCGGTCGTTAAGTATATCATGTTCAGTGCGACTATCAGACGCAAAGAAACATGGGACGTAATTTTCTTGAGTGCCGGACGTCCCGCGCGTGTGTATTATGAATTATTATTGTACGTAGAAGCATTCCTCCTCCGGAAAGATCTTTTAAGCCGGGGACAGCAGTTATCAGGAAGCACTCAGTATAATTTACTCTGGATAATTTAGCTTCATCCGCGACGTAAAAGTACACTTTGAGAATCTGCTAAGGCGATCAACGTACGAGGTGTTGACATGTTCCAAGTAATCTCGATAAACATTTTCACATGAAAACGAAAAGGAAAGTCCGTATTAACGTCCGACCTGAATACATTTTTATGAGCTTTTATTGATACGGGAACTCAAATAGACCAACGATAACATCAAAATAATGTTAAAATGAAGTTAAGTGAAGAATGACTGATAAAAGTGACATACTTTTATTAGTCATTTTGACATCATCGTGACTTGGTGTTCTACTTGAGAAGTTATATTATGATTAAGCAATATGTACATACATAACTGACGTAATAAGGTAACGTTTATCTAAAACTCATTTCACTTAAAATTGTATCGATTTCAATTTTCGTTGAAAAAGGTGTAGGCGTTTGCGGACATATGTCGATACGAATTTTTGTCTCGTATTTCAACTGAGATGAACTGGCATCCAAAGCTCGTCGAAGCGTTTCGCCAGCATTCTATATACGTATCTTCACGCTGACACAGGGGTTCACGATGATCGCGCAATGCCATTCCCACATTTTTCTCTCTGCCGATGCTTGAAACACTTTTAGAGGAGACCGAAGAGCGCGGGTCACCCCGGTTGACGAGGGTGAAAGACCGGGGTCGGCGATGAGGGGTGGAATGGGACTCGCGCTTAACCGCAATTTTTTTATTTCACCAGCGTTTTTCCCCGATTTGCTTCCCAGGTTAAGTGCACCGCGATATCCGTGCCAAAAGCGGAATCGGTGGTGTGGAGCTTCGCCGGTCGCGAGCTCAATTTCACGTCGAACAATACGCCGTTCTACGTGCAAGAGGAATACGCGGCCGAGAGGGTAGTCAGCACTGTCACCCTGCTGGATCCCATATCGACGTACTTTGGAGATTACAACTGCACGGTTACGAACAGCTTCGGCACGGATTCCGTCATCATCAAACTGACAGCACACAGTAAGTGTTTGTGTGTGTGTGTGTGTGTGTGTGTGTGTGTGTGATATCTGATAGATTACTCTCTTACTCTCGTCTGATCGCGTCTCATCTCTAGATATAAGCTTTCGAAGATCTTGCGAATTCGAACGTACATATTGTTGGATAATAGATTCATTTAGCGAGGAATTGCCAAGAATGGTAAAATGAATTTTTCTCTCTTTCTGCCCATAAAGTTTTCATTTCAGTATATTTTTGCTAAATATTTTATTTATATATAATTTTGTACGATACTATAATTGAATATTTTTTAAAAAGATTATGAAATAATTTACCAATAATTACAAAGTGAATTTTTCTCTCTTTCTCCCACTGAAGTTTTAATTTCAATACGTTTGCTATAAATATTTAATATTTTTCATATATTTTTTAACTGTAGTTCAATATTATTTAAAAAGCTAATTAACATCACGTCTTTTTTTACAATCTGGAAATATCAATATCAAGCGAGTCAACTTAATGACCATATTTCCTAGAATAAAATCTTTTACGTAACCGTATAAAATTTTAATTCAAATTCCAATTTTATTTAAAATAGAAAATCATTAATTTTTTAATGTAAAATTAATTAAAAAATTAAATTTTGCTCCTTTTTTTGCATCTTTACAATTTACTTTAGGACGAAATTCTTTTTTAACTGAAAAATTATTTATACACATCGAATGCTTCCTCTAAAATATTTTTATTTTTAGTTAATATTTCATCAAGTGTGCAAAACGTATATCAATAATATTTTCTATGTTAAATTTAAGTTTTATATACTCACCATTGCTACGACGATCTCGGCCTTCCTTGAATAAAACTGACGGCGATCTTTTAATGTTTTTCGCGATGCACTCCAACCCAAGATTAATTAAAACATTGATGTTGTTCCTAAAATTAGAAAATATAAGAAATTAAATTTTCCTATTCTCTTTATTTAATCTTCGTAATTCTATTTAGTAACATCTCTTTAATTTACAATTAAGTTATTTATATACTATACATATTAATATTTTTTCTCTAAAGTAATTTTATTTTTAGTTTAGTTGTCCTCCACTAAGTGGACTAAACATATTTATTATTTAAATTAAATTAAGATTTTCATATATTCACGATCACAGTGACAATCTTAACTTCTCTGATGCTTTTTTAATCCAAGATTAATTGAAACATCGATATTTTTTTTTTAAATTAGTAAAATATATTTAATAAAATTGTATTTATAACTAAAAACTTATTTATATATCTTAATATTCTTTTTCTAAAGTAATTTAATTTTTGATATACTATCACTTTTTTATATATTATCACTAAATACGCTAAACGTATGTATCTATTACACAAGTACATAAAATTAATTTGATTTTTTATCCAGAGATCAGGTCATGGTATTCTTATGTATTTCACTTTGAAATCTAATCCGATATCCAAATTGTTCTATTACGTCACACTTTTTTTTATCAACAGAAATAGCTCGATTTTCCAGTATTTTTCGAGCCATTTTTGACCTGGTTTTTATATGCAAACTGCGGTAAAGAGAGAAAGTAAGTCAACGATAATATGCAAGCTTATAAAGTTAATACAGTAAGTTAAAAATACTGGAAAATCGAGCGATTTCTGTTGATAAAAAAATTGTGACGTAATGGAGCAATTTGGACATACTTTGGTTTCATACACACACGGATCGTCAGAATTCAAAATACATATATTATAAATATCATGGTCTAATTTTCGGATCAAAATATTTTATAATAGCTGACGAAAGTGAGAAACAAAATTCTATTGTAATTCTAGTGCAGGAATGAAAAACAGGAAATTGTATATCTTAAAACGAGGTGAAAATTACATTGTGATTAATATATCTGTCAATTTTATTAGTCAATATTTAGACAATTTTATTGGTCAATATTTAATAAATTTTATTTTTAATACTCATTAATGGTCCCTTTTATAATTTTCATCTCATTTCAGGATGCGTAATCAACTTCATCTTTTATTATATTATATATACTCACAATCATTGCTTCTCTCGATCGAAACTGATGACAATCTCTCGATGCACTCCGAAATCACACTCGCGAATGTATCTAATAATAATACGCGCATATACATTATAGCCAACGGATTCTCCCGTTATCGATCGCCAAATTAAATTACGTACTAACAATATGACTGATTTATCACCCGATACATTTCGACGGCGCTTCCGGACTCGGAAAGCCACAGTTTTCGACATTTTTTTCGATTTAACGCGAAATCAGAAGTCGTAATGGTCGTAGGATCTTAAGTCGTAGAAAATTTAAACCAATCACATGTTAAATATGAAAAGAATAATCGACTACGGCCAGTCAATTTTTTACGACTTAAAACTCTACGACTGCCACAACTTCTGCTGTAAACCCCGTATAATGTTTTCGAGAAGTGGCAACGTCACCGATTCCGGGAAGACGCGAGCAAACATGGCGGACACGAAGGCCGGCCGTTATCCGAATATTCTAGACGAGCGCGGGATCGTCCGTCTCCGTTGATCCACGGCGGAGGTTTCTCGACGCCTCCTTCGACGCTTTTCGGTGTTCCGGATGCTGAAGGGCATTCGCGACGCTTGCTAGATGAACGAAATACGGATGGATTTTGCCGACAAATCCTGCCCGTGTGCAACACGTACTGGCCGGCAGTTAGGAAAATTCGATTACACGACCACGAATAACTTGACGCGTTCCGTAAAAATTCCCTCGATGGGATGGCCGTCGATTTCGAGACCCGAGTAACGTGTTAATCACGATATTCGCGATCGTGCGAGTCAGTTAACACACGATTACTCGTCACTATGATTCAGTATCGCCGACGGACGCTCGTTGTTACGCAGAGTTTATTGGAGCTTATCCGGTAAAAAAAAACACGAAGAAACGCAGCAATTGCGACCGTCGTGTCTCGGAGAACGCGCGACACGTAATACCGTTCTAGGCAATTACGGAAATTTGATAACGCGCGACCGCGGCTAACTTCGTACGCTCCGGAAAATTTTCCGACGGACTGCCGCCGATATTAATCGCGATCGCGCGAGCCAATTAACACATTCAGTATTAACTAGACACTTATTTGTACGCAGAGCTTACCTGAGAGGGATAAAAAGACGCGAAGATACGCGACGATTTCAATCCGCGCGCGAAACGTATTAGGCGGTTAGAGATTTGGCAACGTCACCGCAGCTAACTTCGCGCGCTCCGGAAAATCTTCAGATGGATTCGAGAGATGGGTATTAATCGCGACCGCGTGAGTCAATTAACAGTTTAACACATCGTGACATCGCCCGTCTCTCGAATAGTATTCCCGACAATCGTTTGTGCGTATAAGACTTACCTGAAGCGAGTAAAAAAAACGCGGCGATTGCGATCCGACGTGCACCGGCAAGCGCGCGACACATACTGTCGTATAGGTAGGCGATTAGGGAAATTGGTCACGTGACCGCGCCTAACTTGGTGCAAGATTTTCTAGCCGATCGCAAGAGACATATGTTAATCGTAATTACATGGGCCGAATAATAGATGATTTTTACGTCGCTCGGCTCGACGGCTTCCCGATACCCGTTTCTACGCTGAGTTCACCCGAAGATGAGTAAAAAGACGCGAGGATCGCAAAACGCGGCGATTGCAATTCGACATGCGCCCCGGGAGGCGCGCGTACCAGCCGGTGATTAGCAAAATTCGACACGTCATCGCGGCTAATTTCATGCGACACGGTGTTTTGCTAAAATGCCGAAAGGATATTAACACTTTGCCGACGGGGACGCGTAAAACTGCGCTTTACAACGTTACGCGTTGTATTTTCCCTTTTAAAGCGCATTCATCAGAACAAAGACACTTTGACAGAAATCATTAACTATTATTGACGTATTTTTAACATATTCCCTATTCTGACTTTCTTGAAAACTTATGAATAGTGAAATAAAAATTATAAATTTTCATTCCTGCACCTATTAATTGTCAACGAAACATATTAATACCGTTAATCTTTCGCCAGCAAATGTCGCTAGTGATCTTTAAAGACATCGTGTATGACTATATTATATTTTGGATTGTGAATTTTGGTAGATAAATTTTTTGACATATAAATTTAAATCTGTAAAATAAGTCAAATACATTACGATTTCTGATAGTAAAAATTCCTTGTTCAAGTTTTGACACGTATATCAGAATTTTTCAGGTTTTAATATAATTTGGAATAATAAAAAAATTTACTCTGTTTTATTATATTTGGAGACTCCTATATTACTGACGGAGGGTTAAATGTTAACAGTGGTGGATTAAAGTAACTTAAACGAAATTAAATTAAAAAATGGAATCGGATAAGCTTATAACATTCAATCGAAATATATTGGGATTATACTATTAAGATCAAACCCGCTAAACATAAATTAACAGTAACATTGCATCAATGTTATAATTCCCTATACTCAACAATGTCACCGTTATGTACAACATGTGTTATATTACGTTACATGCATAATGTTCAGTGGGAAATTATAATATTAATTGTAACAATACCGTTAGTTTGTGTTTAACGGGAATTATTTTCTTCTCTAATCGCGGTAACACAATAATGGGTGTATATTTCTGGGACAAGGAATAATAGCGTTGATCGAAACACTCTGTCTCGTTGTAAGGCGATCTCATAATGAAAGAGTACCGTTGTCGTGTAATTCTGGACATATTCAAGAAGGACGAATGTGTTATTCACGCCCCCGTACTATCTCTCACCGAGCAATTATTAAAACAAAAGAAGGATATATTAAAGGCAATGTTGTTACAAACGAGAAAGTTCTAATTTCACCATTGTGATATATTAACGATTATGAGAAGCCCCCGTGTTTGCTCTTGAGAAGCAAACAATATGAGCTAATTGTAACTCAACGTGAATATATATGCCTACATGTGTACATAGGGTATACACGTTTGTTTTAGTAGCCATTCGTATTTTCTAAACGCGAAAGAAAAGTCTCTCTCGAAAGCTTTCTCGCGTAAGAGAACAAAATATCTTTTATTTTAATAATCTTGATATTTTTGCTGAGGAAGAGTCGACTTAAAATATTTTCATAACCTATATATGATATGTTTCATGATAATATAAATATAATATCAGAAATTTATTAAAAATTTATGTAATTTTACCGTTTTATATAAGCGCGCGTATGTATAAATCTATTATCTGGTAATTATAACGATATTAGAAATTTATATAGTTTTTTTTAACGTTATAAGCGTTTTATTATCGATATACCGAAACTACATAAATTTTTCTCTTTGATTATATATCAAATTCATGGAAACAGATGTAGGTCTAATGGACATAGACAGCGGTGTGTTATAAATCGGTTCGCTTTTTCCAAGAAGATCGAAACTGTGTAAAGTAGTTTAAGAACGATTAGGGAGTTGAAATATTGCCAGAGTCTCTTACTGCACACGTATTCACCGAGATAACACCGGTGATATACGTTAGATATTTTGCGTACATTTAAATAAAAGCAGGGAAATGAGATACCTATCTAAACGTAGATATGTCATCGTGTTTATTCAAAACATTTTTAACCACTATTTATTCAGGAGAAAGATGTGTATTTCCACTTTCCGGAATTGACATTGTTTCACAACGTCCCCATAACTATAAGCTTTTTAAGCAGAAGCCAGCGGAATACCTTTTTATGCAATAATTTTAATTCCTTTGTTCCGAGGCTTTTACTGCTGATGCCCCGGAAAATCACAATTTGTAAGAGTAATACGTCCGTGACGGAACTCTTTATCACTATCCGTGCTTCTAAAAGATCAGAGAGATTCTGAATCAGCTCATTTGAGCGACTAGCTCTTCAGTTAATGATTTGCAAACTACTTTAACCGCGCTACTCACGAGCAAATAATTACCTTCGATAAATGACTCATTATTAATGTATATCTAACGTTATAATCTAGGCTCTTTTCGAGTCGCTACATAATTGCTATTACATTATTCCGTGACTTAATTCTAAAAAAGGGTAACAGGAGTGTAAAAACATTTCCGTAAAAAGTGGCACAGTTGAGAAACATAACTATCGAATTTATTATAGCGGTAATGTAAATAAAAGCTTATGTTTAATCTACAAAAGTATGGCAAAAACGATACACGCTGAAGATTCATATTACTGTTATTCGAGAGAAAGGTCTGGAATTCGATGTTATTGACTCGTGCCACTTTTCAAGCGACGATGCGTATATTAATTAACGCGCCTCGCTCTTCTTCATATGGTAAACGAGATTTTAACCAGACATGACGCTTAGCGTTGATTCCAGTCGATTGGCAACTGATCTTGATCATCGCCGGGCTGGTTGTCTGCGTGATCCTAATTGGCATAATAGTCCTACTCATTCTACAATGTCGCGATCGTATTAAGCAGCCACGGCCGCGAACGACGCAGAATCAAGAGACCGATTTGCGTAAGTAACTGTATGAGGTTAATACGTAATAAAATATCTACAGAATTGGGTTAACCGCTTTAGATCTGATTTTAATGGAATCATGTTAAAAATATTTTTATTTAGTTCCAAGGTATTTTAATCATTAATTTATACTGAACAATTCATTTTTCTCAAAATTTTCATTATTTTTCTAATATATGGATTATTATCTACATCTCGGATGATGTTGATAGAATTAATAATTTTATCGGATAATGTCTCCGATGTACAATTCCAATGTACTTTGAGTCTAAAGAGGTTAAAGTGATGAACGTTACACTAATACAATTCCTAAATTTTTCAAAACACTTGTTCAACCTTGTTGCTTCCGTTCCTGATTCATATAGAGGAAACGGATTCTAATGCCGATCGATACAGAGAAAGCGATAGGAGCAGCAACCTCTCGGATGTCAAAGCAGACATTCGAGCGGGATCCAGTGTCAGCAACGCGGAAAGTGTCACAGCCCTTGACAGTGAAGGCGAAGGAAGCACCAGAGGAGTAAACGCCTTGGCGCTTGCTGGACCAGTGCCGAATCCATTATCCGGTTATCGTTACAGCGCTGATTACACTGAGCCTTCTTTCCCGCCGAAGAACAACGTAAGTCGATTTAAAATACTCGTCCTTGAGATACTTTTAACGATTGTAAATGCTCTTGAATAATTTAAAGAAAAAGATCAAACTGTTTAAAAACAGATTTTTAAAAGACATTTTTAGAAAAGTATTTGTAGGAGGTCCCCCCATAACACATGGAAGTAACAGTTTTGTTAAAGTATTAAAAAATATAACTTGAGACTTAAATTGTGTATGTGGTGGCTAGAAACTTGGCATCAACGTTTAAGCGTTCTGCATAATTATTTTGATAATCCAACAGAATTCGTTTTCAGATCTATATCTAGATAAATTTTTTATTACTTTAGCAAAACCGTTCTTTGCGTGCAGTACGTACACTTTCCAGTTCTAAGAACATTCCCAGGATGTTTCTCGGATAAAGTGTATTATATGTGGGGTCGTCTTATTTATGTCTTATTTATTCAATATTAAAAAGTGAGACGCGGGGCATCTATTTCTGTAGGATGGCAGTAATAACAACGGTTACGTGCCATACGTTGACTACACTCGCGATTATATGCCGCCAACGACACAGAGCATGGGCGCATCGCGAGAGTCGTTGAGCAGGATATCCACGAGCGGTATCTTATCATCGAAAAAAATCGGACTCAGCTCGGCCAACTTGGGTAGTTCGACCCCACAGACAACGCCGATCGATCCGCGATTTTCCGCGACATACGGCAATCCCTATCTCAGGTAAGACAGTATCTCTCTGTAGGTTGTTCACCCTGAAAAAGAATTTGCTGAATTTTAAAAAATATTTCTTTGAATAGTACTAACTAAATATTTATTAAATGTAAACATATATTTCTTTGGTATGAGAACCATAAATTTGATTTCATTTATTTATACTGTAAGTAAATGTTTCGTTAGTACTACTTAAATGAATATTTATTAAAATTTAGTAATTTCTTTTCAGTGCAGTCACAGGTCAGACAGGAAATCAGGATTTATTACTTTAATATTAACCGGTATTGAAAATTCTTTCTAAAATTTTTCTTACAAACTATCGCTTCTTACTTGGATGCGCGAGATAATGTACGCAGCAAAGTCCCAATGTATCTTTAGTGTAATATAATTCCTTTTATGTAAGCCAAGGAAATAACCTTCGATCAAAGTTCCAAAATTTCTGAGAGTGTCAACATAGTCACGAGAGCCTTACAGCTCCCGCGAATGCCTCGGACTAATTATAATTGGCTCGTGTCATTGATCGGCTGCGGATACCTTAGGTGGCATCACGTTCCGTTTACGTATACGTCGCGCAACGCTTGTCATCCTCCTGCACGGGAATCTCACGTCGTACGTGCCAGGAATGCGTTCGTCGCGAACAGCTAAATTAGATATGAGAGCGAGGCGGCACGGTCGTGTCTCGCACGAGTTTCGGGAAATGCTTGTCCTACCTTAAAAAACGGAAAGGCGATGATTAAAAAATCAACCGAGAAGAGAGGGAGAATTCCTCAGAACGTAAATTCTATTCAAGGTTTCGCGTAAATTCCGCTCGCGACGCTGCACATTACACTCTGTTTTTCTCTTGAGGAACTTTTAAAATTCTTGTTTCTCGTTGCGTTCTCAGCGGTCCTTCTTTCAAAATTTTATACTCTACCAAGGAAAAATGACCTCGAAGAAAGATCGAAGCGTCCCACTATTGTGTCTATGTACCAAGTCCACGCTTCACCACCCACATCTAGCTCATACGTGCCTTTCCTTCCCACACTGTTTACCTTCCTCCGTCAAAGATGCAAGAAGCAACAACCTCGTGTGTTTTGTTTCAATTCAAACCCAGAATCCAAGACTTATACTTTTAAGTAGTACAAGCCGAGATGACTCTCTTGGTTCGACGACCAAAGTGAAATTTGTTACCGTTTCAATTCAGGCTTGCGATTATAACACAGTAGAATAAAAACTGACAGAGAACTGTCAACACGTGGAAGTCTTCTGCAATCATCCCTTTTTGAAACAGAGAGAGATATTTCAAAGAGATGCTTTGCAACGATAAACATTACCGAGGGAACTTTGAGTTTAATTTTAGTCATTTGTATAATTATTTTTGTCTTTTTTGAGATTTAGGAATGAAAATTCCTCCTTTTTAGTTACATTCATCATAATTATGAGTTTCATTGATAACGAAGATGAAATAAATATTATTGAAAGTAACAGTTTTGCTTATTACGACGAAGAAATTTTGTTTATTATTTAATTTTATTTTAAGTCCATCATTCATCAATCCAGTGATACGACGAATATGTATTCTCTAAATTGTTTTGATCTTATTTTAAGGAGTAAAAATTGAGCCGAATGAGAAAAAGAGTGGCTTAATTTTCAATCTTTGAAAGTGGGATTTCACTCTATAAAATGAGATTTATTCAAAAAGTTTTAGAGAGTACGTGAGGAAACATTCGACGATGCATTTGGTGCTTATGTAACGAAAACTTTGATGTACGGTACAGAAATGAAACCGCGACGAATCCGCTACTAGTCGAATTCAGTTACTGTTTGCATGCTTGTTTCTCGCTCTCTTCTCTTTCCGTGATTTAAATTTCGACAGCGGGGAAAAAGGCCGATTTCCCGTCACTAACGCTACATTTCTTTCTTGCAAACGAATACAGAATGTCAGCGGCCGAGCAACTCCGACACGCGCCGCACACAGCCGTGCCGGGAGTGACGCCGGCACCACCGCCGTACACGCAGGCAATGAGAATGAATAGCTTGAATACCTTGAACGGCGCTGGCCCGCAGGTTGGTACAATAGTGAAATGTATGTCAAATTCCTAAACGTAGTTACGCCGACGCCACGGCGCTTCATGCAACTTGGGGTAGATCGGGAGCAAACTGTCAATATTGCAAAGCCATTGCAACTGCGCGCGCGCTACTTTCATTTTGCAACGTTAATCCTTTCCCGTACGGCCCCATTCCAATTCCCCGACGCACGTAAATTTCTGCCTGGTAAATTGTTTTTGCCTGCTCTACCTCCGCATCGCATACCTTCGCGCGTAAGACGCGATACAGAAAAAGAGCTTCGCTCGAAAAAGAAGAAAATTGAAAATCTAATAATCAGGTAACGTTGTATTTTTCGAGGTATACGGTTGCCTTCCATCGATGGTTTGGATTTAATTTTAGAAAATTAAAGCTCTCTCTCTCTCTCTCTCTCTCTCTCTCTCTCGATATTACGGGATGCATATAAATATATATATGGATTTTGGTAATTACACACAGATGCGCATGGATTACGATAGAATTAAATTGATTTATTTCTTGTCATTTTTCATTTTTATATTTAATTATTTATATTTTTCTTTGTCAGCTGACAAAATTCGCAATATTGATTTATTATGCTTGACTTACATTCCGATTTAACCAAGCATGCTAATTAATATATATTTCGAGGCAAACGAATGCATGGAGTAAAAAATTGACCGTAACATACAAGCAATTGAACGAAATAATAGTGTAAGCCAGTAATAATGTCACACGTTTGAAAAAGTGTAATGCTTAGTTGCTATGGCGAAAATGTAAAATTTTCAATTTTTTTCTTTACAACCGTAGAAAATGTATAATAACGTAGCTGAAATTCGTATTACACAGTTTCACAAATCCTTTTATTTCCCGAAATGAGAAAAAATATGGCTTTTACCACTTTTCCGCTCACATATTACTCGCTGGATGTTTTCATACTGTATAATTCAATCTTTGCACTATTTGAGGCTTTATAGTTTAATGGATATAGATGGGAACACACACACATTAGCCGGAATATCTGTTTTATGTTTCTATGGAGTTCGTGTAATTAAATATGTATGTCGCGTATCATAAAAATATATGATTGGTACTTAAACTTTTATAGATGTACAGAATAACAAGATTAAAAAAAAATTCATTTGTATATTACTCATATATATATATAATTCTCTTTTATCTTAATTAGTATAATTTTTGTAGAAAATCAGAATTTATAGAATCTATAATTAACCTTTTCTTTATATTTTTTTTTTCAATGAACACGTCAAGCGATTAATTTCAACGTAGTTCGTTCTATAGTATCTACGTACATATCTGAAATTAACAAATATCTTTCTCTCGATGCAAGGGAGGTTTAAGATAAATATTTAAAGAAGCTGTGTATCTTGTTAAAACGGAGAAAACACACCACGGTTAGAAGCAAAGTAGTAGTATCCGTAGGATTTAACAGCTGGGGTTAAATGCGATAACATGACTCAGGATGTCGCGTTTCTTTTTGTTTTGCAGGCCCCATTGTCAGCGCATTATATCACCGGCGGTCCAAACGGGGCCATGGCGACGGTGAAGCGCACATCCGCGGTTGGCACGTTAGCGACGCACGTATGAGGCCAGGGGATCTATCCGAATTAGAACCGTCGATACTCGGGCCTAACTGAAACCACCTTCGAACTCGGTCGTGCCCTCGAGATGTCCCGCTACTTGCTCGGTCCGCGCCCAGCGACGTTGAGATCGACGACTCGCGACGCACGACGTCTCGTTGATGCACCGGAACTAAGTCAATGTCGTTACAACCAGACCCGCCACGCTCACGACACGGAACGTTACAGAGCGGAATGCGAGCGACTTGTAGGACGAAGGTCACAGGGCAGCTGGGGCAGCAGAGGTCACGGCGGGGTCACGGACCGAGCACAACGAATGGCCGAGAATGGCGAGGCGCTTAAACATATCGAGCTGGTGCTTCGACAGTTACAAAGGGCCAGCAGAGATCATCGAGAACTCGTGCGGCAACGTCATTTGGACGTTCAATACGAGATCGGTAAGCGAATCAACGAGAGAATCTCCCATCATCGTTATCATCATCACTATCGAGATAGACGCGAGGGTTCGATGGACGCATTTAGAACTTGGTCCAGGTCCTCGAGCAGCCCGTGGGAATCGGACTTAACTTTAAAGAAAGCACAGCCGGACGTCACAACGAGATTGCTGTCAAAGAGACGAGATTATGGCGGAACGGCCCAAAGCACAATCAATATTCTGAAGCCAGCCCCCGGACGCGTTCGGGATGAAACTGCGGGCGCTTACCAAGAAATGAAATACATTCCCGAAAGTGTCGACTGGATTGGCGCGCGGGAAACGTTTGGTGCGTGGAGTCTGCCCGAAGCTTCATCGAGCAACGACCGAAGGACATCCTCCACCGTCGTTTAGAACGCGGGTAGATAGCGGCTTTGTGCCGAGATTCGTCAATCTCGACAAGAGAGGGTTGCGGAGAATCGAGATGAACCGGAGACTCGAGAAGGTGTCGAAACGTGAGAGCGACTCGTTAATGATACGCTTACGATAGGACTTGCACTTCATTCGAAATCAAACTATCTCGCTGCGCGCTGCTGAACGCAACGCACACACTGAAGAGACGGCCGGTGTGCGAAAGGGACGCCGATATCGAAGGGAACGGACGTACACTCTCCTTTTGGGTCAATAAGATTAGATTTAGGACGACGAAGAGCGCCGTGAGTAGTGTGCTCGGAGGATATTCGTGAGTACGAGAAGAGGGAGGGGGAGGGGGAGGGACGATGTTGGTTGGGTTCGTGGATCGAAGGTACTCTCTTCGGTCGGTGGCGAAAACAGACCACTCGGTATCGACAATCTTCTATTGACGTACTTTAGATCTTCTATATAATAAGCGTTTAATAAGACTCGCTCGAGCGGAAAGCGACGGGAGACGGAAGGTCCGAACGAATCACGTCGCGAATTGTTGCTGTCGCGGTGGTAGCCGAATACCGGGGAAACAACACATCGTTCGTGACCTACGATACGGTCATTTTCACGAAACCTCGAGGGTTCTCCTCGGGGCTGAAAGCTTTATCGTAGAAGCCGCTTCCCCGGTGATTCGTAAGCCGGAGCTGGGTTTACGCTTGACATTTACAGCGCGCCAATTCTATCTGACACTGCCCTTATTAGCGAAGCTGCGCAACAACGGGAGTAGTTGTTACTTTTTCGTAGCTATACTATTTCACGTTTAATCCTCTCTCGACGATATTAGTTATTATTCATATAACGATGTACTTCTCACATTTTTAAGTACACTTTTCTAAATGTTTAAATCTATTTCATGAAACTTAAATATAAATAAGAATATAATAAAGAGAGAGTAGTAACCTCGGAGATTTTCCATCGAAACTACTAAGTTTACTTTCGCCTTTGAACTAATAGCTTCTTCGACAAAATACTCGAGATACTCACATTGTAGCACAGTCGAATCCGAATGTCAAGCGCCAACCTACCGTAAACGGAAAACGTCTCGGCTGCCACTCCGATGTTCACTGTGTCGCGCTGCCTTTTTGTATTTGTAGGAAAAAAAAAGAAATAATGAAAGATTAGCTTATAAGAGATGTGCTCGTGCAACACATCCGCGGACTTAAGGGCGCACGTTAAGGATTAACGACGACGCCGCCGCGGCGGCCACGTGGCTCTCGTAGCGATGATAGATCGCGACAAGTTCTCGTGGCTTCGCGTTTCTTCCGGCCTCAAGTTCCACGTGCGACGGACAGGTAATTAGGTATGCGCGGATTCGCGCAAAGGGAAATCGGCACCGCGTGTTTTGCGGCTGTTCGCATTTGTAAGATAGATAGCGAAAAATCATTAGGTATACATATATAAATATATTATACACCTGTTGTCAATATGAGCATAGGGCCTATATATAGTTTCATGGCACTACGTGAAAGCGAATTCTATTTGAAATAAGCTCGTTCGCGCGGGATGGGACGGCTTCATGTAAATAATTATTGATAAATGATTATTATATATACGTATGGGAAATACGAAACGACGCGATTTCGTCGCGCATTTTTCCAAAAAGAAAATGACGAAGGCGCGCGATTAGATCCGCGCTCAATCTTACTATCTCGTAACGCATTGTGTTGTCATCCTTTTCATAGCATTTGTCCTTTTCATTGCAACACGCTGTGGTTCGTTACCGAGGATCGGAAGACGTAGAGAAAGAGAAAGAGAGATTCGGGGAAGACTTGATAAATTCATTGTTTATTTTTCTTAAAATTCCAATGTCATTTTTAACTGATTCTTTTATACAAAGTGTCTCAAATTCGCGACTCAAAATACTACAATGAAAAAATTTTTTGTAGGTTTTTATTATATTTTCAGTAATAGTTTCTGAGATAAAAATTTTAATATGATCAATTATAGATTACGTTTAAATGATCATCACCTGTTAATATTAGTGAATACGTTGAAGTTTATGCCCACTAATATACTATCGCATGTGCGATTTATACACATTCGACCTTCTAAATGTAACTGATTTTCATTAATTATCTCTAAAAATTATTGCCTAAAATAAATCTTTGCAAATAATTTTTTTACTTAATTTTTTGAAAACTTTTTTTTAATGTAGTATTCTGAGTAAGGCATTCTGTAAAACAGTTCTGTTCAAAATGAGATAATAGATGTGCGATTTAAGAAATGTGTTGCCAACGAGACTGACATATCCAAATGAAATCAATTTTTTCATTAAATCTCTTGTGACATTTCTAAGTTTAAAGTCATTGAAAAAAAAATAGCGATTCTGAAAAATCTACAAAAAGCGCGACTTATCGAATCACGTCTCCCGATCTTACATCCGCCGGTACTTGGAAACGATCAATAGCGCGAGCGATCCTCGATTTATTATGGTGCGACCGAGAAAAACGTATCCTGAAAAATACGTCGTGATGTATAGAGCGGACATAAAGGATACCATTCATAACGATAACGAAACAGGGTAGCCTATCAATTATTAAGACAATTTCAAAAATCGAAGGCTGCACACTACAGACTGGGCCGTACTGGCGCGTATCCTGCACCGTCAGGATAACGATTAAATCCGCGCGAGAGAGGAATCCTCGAGACGATTCGTATTACCGTCGAGAGGGAAGGGTCGAAATTATTATTAAACGATACCGATCGTCGCACGTTGAGGAGCTAATATACTCCGACGATCGCGAATGCAAATTTACATTCGCGTCGTCAAGGAGATATCTTTATATCGTAACGTCTGTAACATAACACTTCTGTACATATCTGGAATTATTGCTCACCGTATCTCGTAAGATTTAGTTAGTTTTGTAACTGTAAACCACTATGTGCATACATACTTCACTTTATGAGAGGCGCCTCGTGACGAATGTTTCGCCCTCAAGGAACAGAGTTCCCGTTCATTCGGAAGGACATCAGCCGCGTCTCTCTCTTGCGAAAGGGTTTTGCAGATTAGACGAAAAATTACACGGCTCATCTCCTCCTAATAATGACGGTGACTTTTTCCTCTCGAAACAAAAACGCGTCGTCGAAGTCACGACCTATATAAGGCAAGGCTTTAACAAAGGCTTTAATTTAATATTAACGCATCGAGTGTACTAACATCCTTCTTAACTGTCGTCCACGTGGAAGCACATCAGACCTTTGCCATCTATGTTATTAAATTATTAATTGAAATTACCCTCTCTCTCTCTCGTTATATCGGATTAACGCGTCGTTCTTTTTTTCCTCCGATATGCCGACAACACAAACTTTCGGCTTACTGAGAACAAGTATAGGAAAAAAAAAACACGATATTTTAATCAAGAGACCTCCGTCGAGCATGATTTTTTTAACTTCGCGTGAATGACAGTTAATTGCGATTTCGTCGACGCGTTGTTAATAAATCATCGATGCAGGCCGTTGACAGGGATTATCGCGAATCATCCATCCGAGGTTTCGCTTCTCGTGCATCATTCGATCATTCTGTACAATGTTCACGCCGATGTTACTGTTAACTATTTAAGATTTCGGGATCTTCAGTTTGTGGGGTGCGCACATGACGGCACTGTGTGCGCGTGGAATGGTGAATAATGCATATATATAAGTATCGTGCTTGCAAGTGGTACTCTCGACTGCCGAATGTACAGACGAATGAGGAAATCCCATCCGGGCAACTTGATGCATTTGGTACGAGAAGTTATACATACAGAAGTTACATACGATTTCTATTATAACAAAGAGAGAAAAGAAAAAGAGAAAAAATGTAGATTTAAAGAGGTATACACGCGAGAAGTAACTACAATCAATGTACTGGATGGTCCGTGTGGCGATGTTAAAATTAGAAAAAGTTTATGTCGTTTAAATCTTAGGAGTTTACGCCTTTTCTGCCGTAGGACCATCCTATACGTATTAATTGGTTATCTGTCAATTATTAATTGAATTATATCAATTTCTTCGCCTTTAGTCAAGGAACGCGGGGAATGGGTATGTAAGCGCGCGATATGGCGCGATCGCGTTGTTGTAAAGTCAAATTTCCTAGGCAAAGACGGTCCCTCTAGCGAGCGATAACGTTCGCAAAACGAAAGACGATAATTGCCTAAGGGGATGAACGAGGATTTTTCAAATTTGTTGATACTTTTCATACTTTACGACTAGGAATTATGGCCTATTACTACTATTACGCAAAGTTTATCCGCCGGCTCGGTCGTTTTTATTCGTTCTCAGCCGCGTGCTTTCAGAGCACGTTTCAAACCATGTCGAAAATTAGAAATAATTTATCGGAATGATACCTTGGAGTGGCATACGTCATATATCGAAACTTTATTTAATTTACACCGATGTATAATTTCATTTTACCTACATTTATACTTCATAATGATAATTTTATTCCTCTGTTTAGGAGATGAGAATGATGAAAATCCATTACCTATTTTAACGAGTTCCAAATTTTTAGTTTTGTAATCTCTTTAACAGATATTAGGGATCCTTTAACGCCAAGATCTCATAATTTTGCAATTTACCTATTCCAGATTTCTGATTACTGCATAAAATGCACGGTATATAAATTTCATAGCTCTTTTAATAGGCTTCAAAAGTTATACGCCACGACTGCATAAATATGCTAGACGTGAAGAGGATCAAATTAATTAAAATGTAAATGAAATCAGTAAATGCGATGTTAAAAGAACCGAACTGAACATCAAATTAAAATATGACGAGTATGCCGTTCTAGGGTAATGACGTCCGACTTTGCCCTGTCTTGTAAATCGCGAGTATTAAAAAGGGCCGAGTCGGCTAAGAGATTCGTGAATGGGAAAGTGACTTTTTAGAGAATGAGCGCTCTCTTTACGTGCTACTGCGAGCTACGTAACGTGGCACATGAATATAATCTATTTCGAATTCGACTGAACGAC